ACTCCCCTCCTCCTCTACCCCCTCTACCCCCCCTCCTCTACTTCTGGTCTCCTCTCTCCTACTTCCCCTTCTCTCTTCCCAACTGCCCCTCCTACCTTTTCCTCTTCTCCTTCTTCCCCTTCTCCCCTCCCTTCTACTCCCTCTCCTTCCCTCCTCTCCTGCTCTTGTCCCTCCTCCTCCTTGTCTCTCCTCCTTTGCCTCTCCCCTGCCCTCTCCCCTCCCCTCCTCCCTTCTAGATCCCTCTTCTTTGTTCTCCTCCCTTCCTTTCCCCTTCTCTCCCTCTCCCTCCCCTTCTTCCCCTTCTCTCCCCTTCACCTCTCCCTTCTCTATCTTCTTTTCTCCCCTCCCTTCCCTCTCCCAGGACATAGCTTCACCAGCCTCTGGCCTGGGCAGGAAGCCTGCCTCCCGCCTGCCCTACCTTGAGCCTGGGCCTCCCGCCTGCCCTACCTTGAGCCTGGGCCTCCTCCGCTGCTCACTGGCCTCCTCCGCTGCTCACTGGCCTGGGCCTCCTCCGCTGCTCACGGGCCTGGGCCTCCTCCGCTGCTCACTGGCCTGGGCCTCCTCCGCTGCTCACGGGCCTGGGCCTCCGTTCTCTTCCAGCCCTCACACTCTCCGTGGCCGGCTCAGCAGGGCTAGACGAGGCCGGCACATCCCCACGCCTCAGCCAGGCCTTCCTGCACCTCTCGGACGGGGACAAGAAGACCCTGAAGAGGAAGAAAGTGAACCAGTTCTTCAAAACCATGGTGAGGGCCAGGTCAGGGGAGAGGGAGGGAGGGAGGGAGGCCACCCAAGAGAAAGCAGGGCGTGTGCACACACGTGCACAAGTGTGCACACCCAGCCCCTCCCAGGGACGTGTGGTCAGGACACTGCCAGCAATTCCAGGGTTCAGGTGCAGACAGCGGGCCCTGGGCCCCCACAGGTGCCAGCCCCACCCCCACTGCCCTCCCCCCTCGTCCCCCCCATGCTCCTGGCTGAGCCCCCACAGCTCTGCCCTGGGGCTGGAGAGTGGACACGTGTGTTAGAGGGGCCCTCAACGCAAAGCTAGTTCGGGATGCCGTCCTGACCTCCTTCTCCTGCGCCGGCCTCGAGGCCCATGGTGGATGGTATTAATTAGAGCTGTGCGTCTGGAAAACTCCCAAGCTTACTGTGAGCACTGAGCCTGCCCCCACCCCTTGTATCTGCCCTGCTGGAGGAAGGTTCTAGACGTTCACAGAGCCCCGGGTCCATCAGGCCCTGTGTGGCCTGGGCCAGGGTCACAGGAGGTCGGGCTGGGCCTCGGGGAGGGAGCGCAGGGCTGTTTCCTGGCAGGGCTGCCTTCTCTCCCACAAAGCTGGCCAGCAAGTCGGCCGAAGAAGGCAAGCCACTGCCGGACTTCCTGTCCACAGACCTGTGACAGTCCTGCTGCTCGGAGAAGGTTCCAGAAGAGAGGCAGGAGTGGATGTAAGCCTCCAAGAATGAGAACTGTAACCCCCTCGGTGGCCCTCACTCAGAAGAGACGGGCCGGCCGGACCCCAGGGCCTGGACGGCCACGAGTCCAGCATTCCTGCGAGTGGGGTCACTCTGTGGCTAGGGGGGCCGAGCCCTGGATCCCCGACATGTTCCAGCACGTTCCAGCATGTCTCCACGCACTCTCCCAGCATGCCCGCACCCCTCAACCCCGCTTCCTAGGCATAGGAGCGTTTTCATTTCATTTTTCCAAGGGTCAGCACCTAAGGGCCAAAAAGTCCTGGAATATTCTTTCGTACTTTCAGTTAAGGGTTGTGTGCTTCTCTCTCGTAATGCAACTACCCAGCTGCTTTTTTAAATGACCGTCTCAGGAGTGTTGCTCTTTCTTACAATAAAATAATCCCATGCCTCAGATAAACCTGGCACCTAACTCTGCGGGCGGGGCGGGGCCGGGCGGGCAGGGAGGAAGGCAGCCTGGTCCATGGGGGGGGTAAGCACCCTGGGCCCAGGGGCCAGCGGGAAACCCAAAATCCCAAAAGTCCCACAGGCCGAGGCCGGAGCTACGGGGGGAGGGGCCTTCGCTTCCGTGGACGGGCCCAGTGAATCCCCTCCGTGGTCACATCCGTGCGGCAAACTAACAGGAATGAGCACCACAAAGCTGTGAGCTTAGGAGAGAGGAGTTCGAGTCCACCCAGTTGCGCCAGGGTCAGCTCTGGAGGCGTGACCCCAGGGCCCTTGGAGATGGCCGGTGTTGGCCGACCCTGGGCAGGAATGGTGACCAAGTCCAGGCTGCTTCCTGGTCAGCCCCAGGACAGCAAGCAGAGGCTCCGGGACGGAACTGTCCAGACCCTACAGGAGCCCGGCTGGGGTGACCCCTCCGTGCCCTCCCACGTTCCCACGCTCCCGTGGCCACACACCTGGGGGAATCCAACACCTACCCACCCCTCAGCCCCGCCGCTCTCCAGCCCCAAACCCAGCTGCTTGACACCCACACAAAGCTCACCCTCCACTTCCCGCTGCTACAGAGAGAGACGGCCGCCAGAGGGCGCGGTTGCTCTGTGGTTCTTCAGACTCAGAGGCGCGAGATGCTGAAAACAGCATTCCAGCACCCAGATCTCCTTGGCCTGGCCAGGCAGGCAGGCACCAGCCCGGCCTCCACCAGCCCAGCCTCTGCGAGGCCGGCCTCCACCAGCCTGGTCTCAGGACGGAGTGCCTCCCACCCCCGTGTCCCCACAGATCCCAAGTCCTGGTCCTTGCTCATGCCTGGGGGCGGACAGAGACGGGGTGGGCTCCATACCAGAAGAGAACTACCGCAGAACGCCGGTGGCGCTGTGATGTCCCTGTTCATCCGGATGGGGCTGGGGACACAGCTTAACCTCTCTGGACCTCGGGCCATCCCAATCGACTTCTGCCTCCCCAGGCTCTGGCGCGCATGAGAGCCGCCTGCGGCTGAGCGCGGGGGCTGAGGACACCGAGCCCACCCCCACCCCCCGCCCCTGCCCCTGCCAGCTGCGGTGTCCCCACGGCGGAGCTGGGATCCCTGCGAGGAGGCGCGGCACCGGAGGCTGCCTCCCCAGCCCCGACCCTGTGCCCGTGGGCCGGGTCCTGACCGGAACCGGAACCCTTACTTCTTCCCAAGTGGTACCGGAACCAAGTGACTCCGTGGGAGACTCCACTCCAGAGGAGCACCAGCCCCCGTTCCACGCATTGAGATGGGATCTCTGAAAGAGCCCAGTTCTCCAAGCCCAGAAAGGCGCAAGGCCAGCCGCTGGGGGGGTAGGGGGGGGCACCGATCTACTGTGCACCTGGGAGCCGCCTGTCGGCTTGGGGGCATCTCCCCACGTAGCCCCGAGTCCCCAAGGTGTGGGTGAGTGGGGAGGGTCTGCTGGGCCCGGGGCCAGCACCGGAGGCCGGAGGGCTTCTTCAGAGCACCCCCCCACACAGAGGGTGCCCACCGCACGCTCGCTGCTGTGCACGGATAGCGGGTGGGGAGAGCGGGCACCGTGGGTGGGCCCCCATGGGCACCTCGGGGGGCAGAGGCCAGGCCCCATCCCTGCCTGGCCTGCCTGGCAACCCTGAGGGCCTTGGGGCTGACAAGGGGTGCGGGGGGGGGCCTCCAGCTGGGGAGAGGCTCTTGGACACGCAGCCATTCTCGGCTGCCCCTGGGTGGAGGCCCGGGCAGCCGCCTGCAGCCCTGGGGGGCGGGGAGGGAGGACTGATCAGCAGAGCAGGGTAGAGAGGAGCACGGAGCAACAGAGCAGGGGAGGGGTGCGGCCCAGCCAAAGCGGGGCAGGGGGCAGAGAGGAAGGGGGCAGGAGCGAAGATGGAGGACAGAGGCCAGGGAGACAAAGCAGCCGGAGTGGGGAGGCCGGAGGGCCGGAGGGCCGGGTGCCCTGTCATTCCGAGTGTCAGCTCTAGCCAGCCTGCTTTGCCAGGGCAGGGGGGGAGGGGGTGGAGAGAGGAGGGCGGCCGGGCTGGACCTGCAGGTGGCCGCCCCTGGGTGGGGCCCCGGGGGTATAAGTGGGAGGCTGGCCCGGCACAGCAGGTGTGGAGGGAGGGGCGAGGCGGGCAGCAGCAGGCGCTGGCCCGACCAGCATGAGCGCCTTCGACCTCCCCGCGCCCTCTCCGCCCCGCTGCAGCCCCCACTTCCCCGGCCTGGGCCAGGAGCCCCCCGAGCCCGGCCTGTACTACGAGAACTTCTTCCACGCCCCGGGGGTGGCCAGCCCGCAGAGGGCCCCCCCCAACGAGGCGGCCGGCGAGTACGGGCCCACCCCCCCCAACCCCTACC